AGAGCTGGTTTAGTTGCTGGTAAATGTAAAACTAATTATAGTAAAGGTTGGTTTGTTTCCTTCCCTTTTAACTAGTTTGGTGGTGGGTTCAATTAAGGAATCCATTATTTCATTCCCCTCTTAGTAGGTATGAATCCAGTTTCACCATTCACTAGCTCCATTCACTACGAATCAGTTCTTGGGAAATTTCCTCATCTATAATATGAAGACAACATCCACCTCTCAGGATTACTGTGAGGAGAATACAGTAACATATGTAAGGTATGCTTAGCACGATACTTGACATAAAGTGGGCTCCTCTATCTAGTGGGAACACAGATGGGTAGGGATGCTTTTGAATGCCTTTTGCTACTCGACCTTCAGTCAGCTCATCACAAAGTATGCCTGAGTCTCCCGATAGAAGGTGCTGGCATTTCTCCCTCTGAAAAACAAGGCTAGTGAGCATTGGGGGCCTGCTATCACTCACAAACATATGCATTCTCTAGAGGTATGAAAAGATTGGAACCAATATTAGCTGACAGAATAACAGCCATGTCACACTACCATTTGAAGTCGTACAAGACCTAGGATGACTATTTACAGTATGAAATTTTCTTTTAGAGCTAGAAGGAACAGAACAGATTTATTTCAACCATTCATTTTAAAGACTGTCCTGGGAGGTTTTAAGTGACCTGCTCAGGGTCATAGAACACTAATATTTAGAGTTCCTAACTCTGAGCTGGCCTCGTTGTTAGCCACTCCACTCTTTTGAATCTTGGCCCTTTTGCTCTATCTAGGAAACACTCTACTACCCCGTATATGCAAAATGAGGAAATGCATTCCCACAGTTCTGTAGCTCCCAAGTCTTGCTTGAAGGGTTTTTGAAAGAGCAGGAATTTAAGGTCAGTTCAGAAGAATGAGGGTGCAGGTGGGCATGCAGGGGCAGGGACGCTCATCTGTCAGCTTCCATCTGTCATTCCTAGATACTCTAGGTATACTACTCATAGGTTCACTATAAACATTATTCCAACAAACTGTTTTCAGCTCGTTGGCAGTTTAGTACTTGTGTTCATATTTCAATTTTATGTTCTAACAATCAGGAATCTTGTAGGCATGTCTTAGGAAGTGAAAATAATTTTTTCTCAGGTCAGAAACTTACCCGGGACCAGCAGTTAGCGTAATGGCTATGTCCCTGGACTCCCACGTAGTCGACCGCAGTTCACGTCTCAGACTTGGTGGCTTAAAACTCACACTGGGCGCGCGTGTGTGCGTGCCCAAGATCCTGAGAGGAGAAAGGAGGAGAAGGGATTGCAGTGTGGCCATCCCCCCTGGGGGGTGATTTCTCGCTTTCTGTCTCTCTCTGTCTGTCTGGCGAGTGCACACACCCTATAGCAAAAACCTCTCCAAAAAAGTAAATAAATAAATAAAAGAAACTTACCCAAGAAATTAATCAGAAGCCCACTTTTTAAATTCTATAAAACTAGATACATTAATAGAGTATTTATTTTGTAAAGAAAGGTTTCATTTTTATTCTTTTTTAAAGGCTTTTTTCCTAAAATAAATACATGCACACACACTCCACCAGCAAAGGAAGTGGTAAATAATTTTCAGAATTATCAAAGATACTCTTTTCCCCCACATCCCCACATTGTCTTCTCTTTTGAGTTCCTGCTACTTTTGCTGAGAAATCTAAGGACCCATCACAGACATGATCCAAATCATAGGAGAGTTTGAATCCCCTACACCCCATTTTTAGTAGAGGGGAAGATGAGTGGTAGTACTTTCTAGTATTCCAATTGCAAAGGGGAGATTTTCTCATTGGAATGATGTAAGGTGAATAGGTATCCCTTAACTGTAATAAATTAGATATGTTACTAAGGGGTGGGCTGAAAGTTAACCCTTTTGATTGTTTTTATGAGAAACACGTTTGTTCAAAAGTTCACTGACCACCAACACACTTTTGAAATATATAACTTGTCATAGGTTGGGAAATGGTTGAATATTTTAAAATTTGTGATTTATACAAATTCTTTCTACTGTGCATTAACAAGCATTTCTTGAGTTTCTGAACACCTGTTGTATAAGCAATCACAGTACCTGTACTAACATACCACAAAAAGCTCAAACATCTGGGGTTCGTCAAACTATTTGCTTTACTTTTGAGTATGTTTAACAATTTTCATAATCATAAGACTGAAAAATACATTGAAACAACAAAAAAAAAATCCCCCAAATTTTCAAAAATCAACCTAGGACAAAACTGGGTAGCAATGTAAAACCACTAATTAAGAAATAAAATCTTGGGAGCCCAGGACGGTGTAGTGGTTGCATTGCTGGACTCCCACATGGTCGATCACCATTTGAGTCCTTAACCCCATGGCTTGAAAATCACACCAGGCATGTATGCATGCATGTCCAAGATCCCAGGAGGACAATGGAGAAGGGATTATGGTCATTACCCCTGGGGGATGATTTTCACTTTCCCTCTCACTGTCTCCGTTTCTCTTTCTTTGCTGAGTACATGTATCCTATGGCAAAAACCTCTTAAAAAAATAAGTAAAAACTTCGGCTGGCAGGTGGCATAATGGTTAAGACGTTGGACTCCCGCATGGCCAACCACAGTTCTAGTCCTGTGCCTGATGGCTTGCTTTCTTACTTTCCTTCTCTTTCTTTCTCTCTGTCTCTGGTGAGTGCACATGCTCTATAACAAATTTAATAATAATAATAAATAAAATTAAATAAATAATTTTTAGAAATAAATAAAAACTTGGGGTCAGCTAGGTGGCAAAATGGTAAAGGCAGCTGGACCTCACATGGCTGACTGCATGGTTCAAGTCCCAGCAACAATGACTTGAAAAACACACTGGGTTCATGCCCAAACTCCCAAGAGGAGAATGGAAGACAAGGGATTGTGGCATGGCCATCACCGTAGGGCCTAATTTCTCACTTTCTCTCCAGGACAAATGCCCTACAATAAAACTTAAAAAAAAAAAGTAAAAACTTGAATTTTGAATTGCATTCACAATGTAGACAGCAACCCAAATAGCAAAATGTTGAAAAACTTTAAATATAATGCAACCATTTTGAATCTTCCAAAATTTCATCTCATGGTTACTCATAATTAAGAATGTTTTCAGAGGCCAGCAGGTGGTGTAGTAGTTACCTCACTGGACTGCCAGACAGTTGATCAGGTTCAAGTTTTGGACAGGGTGGCTTGAGACTCATGCCAAGCGTGTGTGCGTGTGTACCCAAGATCCTGGGAAGAAAACAGAGGAGAAGGGATTGTGTTGTGGCCATCTCCCTGGGGGGGGATGATTTCTCACTTTTCTTTCTCAATGTCTCTGTCTCTATCTCTCTCTCTGGCTAGTGCATGTGTTCTAAGGCAAAAAACCTCTACCAAAATAAAAATAATAAGGATTAGGCATACAAAATATATATATATTAAATGCTTAAATATGATAATTTTAAATACCTAAATATGACCATTAAAAATTATATAACATAAAACTGAATTGAGGCAGATATCCTTACTAAATTTGGCAGAAAGGAAGGATCTTAGTTAAGATGAGATTATTTCAGATTTTACTTTGTTTCATCTTTTTATCACATTTTTAAAAATAAAAAACTATTTTTCAGTTTTCACTATAGGGTGCAGATGCTCATGAGAGAGAGAGAAAGAGAGAGAAGCAGAAATGACCACCCCTGGGGGGATGGTCACACTGTAATCCCTTCTTAATTGGGATTTTGAGCATGCACGAACCCATGCTTGGTGTGTTTTTCAATCTGCTGAATCCAGGTCTCAAACTGCAGTCTGGAATGTGGGATCCAGCCTACTTAACCATCATGCCAAATGCCTGGCCCTAAATTTGTTTAATCTTAACTCTGATAAATATTTTTTCAATGTATTGCAGCTGAGTTGTTGTTATCCATTAGCATTTTTATTTTTATTTATTTTTTTAAATTAGAGATTAAAAATCTTGTTACGGTGCTCAGGCTGGCCTCAAACTCCTGATCTTCCTATCTCAGATTCCTGAGTAAGATTACAGAAATATGTTACCACACCCAGCCTTTGAAATTTTATAATTTGATTCAGTTACCAATGAGCACTTTCAGAAGTGTACAAGTAAAACATCAATTTTTCAAACAAAATGTCCCATCATTGATCACCTTTATATATTTCCATCTCATTTTAAGGTATCTAAAAAGCCATTGCAATTAATAATAAAAATAAATAATTAGATTCATCTTTTTAAGCAACTCTTTTTAGTGTATTTCTTTAAGCCTAATAAAAGACTGTTAGGCTTGCTAAAATATAGTTTTATTAAATTCAGAACTAAAATATTTACTCTTTAGATATCTATAGTCACCTAATACATTTTCTAAAACATACTTTAATATTTTTTATAAACAAAATATTTTAAAAATCCACAATGGCATAATATCAAAGCAAGCAATAATTAGACAAAATAATAAATGAAATATGATATGCCTTCTGCTATGTACCTGTGAGTTTTACAGAATAATCATTACAACAGATGTCTTTAGAGAACAAAGGAGAACAAGAAAGTATAAAGGTGGGGGAAGGCATGGAAGATATTTTCTGTTCTCTTCTACTGTGTGGTCTTTCACTGCACTATTCTTTAAACAAAAAAAGGTCTCCTCAAGGGCAAGTCCTGTTTCAAATGTCCCCTTACTCTCCTGACTACAGAATAATGTGTTTGTGTAGTATATGATTACACCAGACAAGACTGTGAACACATGTGATTTACTCAATGATCCTATTCTGTTTCCTTTTAAAGATAAAGAATGCATTTAAAGTCGATTGTGTACGAGAGCATGGTAATTCCTTAGAAGACTCCATTAGGAGAACAATATTACCTTACTTTAAAACATTAAAGCATTGCCATTTTTGTGGTCTTCATTTTCTTTTTAGACAAATTATCAATTAATACTTTCATTTATTTTAAAAGAAAAACTATAACACATGAGCGGTGACTTTAAAATAGTTTTAATTTCCCCTTGTATAAGCAAACATCCTCATAAAATATTCACTTTTAAAAATTCTTTATATACAAATAATTTACAAAAATCTATGTAAAATGGAAGGAAAAAAAAAAACTAAAAACAACACAAACACAACCACTGCAGCTCCTAACAGCAGGCCAGATCAAGGTGCAAATCTCATGAAAACAAGCTGCTCACATTCCCAGAACCACAACCCCCTGGGAAGAATCTTGTCTTCTTTAACTTGCTGGGTGGCAGAGCCCATAAGAATTACTCAAACTATGAAAATCCCAGAGCATGGTCACCTAGGGGGAAATGAGATAGACATGACTTGAGCATGACAATTATTTTCTTTTAGTAACAGTAAAGATAACAACCTTAAATGGTAAAGGTTGTGTGAGCTTCAACTTCAATGGTTAGATAATTGTGTATATATTTAGCATATGTTAACTAAAGATGAAAACACATAATTTATACTTGCTATTTTTCTTTAAAATCATATTCTCTAAGGCACTCATATTTATTCACTACAGATACATTTTAGTGGTGCTTAACAAAAACACCAAGTAAAGAGCTAAGGCACAGGAAAGTCAAAGACTGCACAACCAGAAATCAAAACCAGATCCTTATCGCTAGCTAGAACTCTTTTTAATTTAGTTCCAGTTCTATAATGTGAAATTGTTTTTTAATCCCATTATCATACAGAAGGTTCGATATTCCTCCAAGAGGGTTAAGTCCAAGTTTCTTCTCTGTGAACTTCTTTCTGACTCATTGTGACTACAAGACTCTCAGTCCCTCCCAATTCATCTTCTGGTCTCACCTGCTTTCCTGAACAGGTTGGACCCTAGTCATTTCATCTATGCCTGTATCTCCTGCCCAGGCCTCTCCTGCTAAAGTCAAACCAAGGTGGTCCCCTGTAGCAGTAATCTCTGTTATTACTTCATCCCAGCAATGATTTAATCCAACAAAAGGTCATGCTGCCTCTTTTCAAATGGCCTTCACTACTGCTCAGCAGTTCTAACACTGACACTTAGCATATTTAGCAGATCCAAACTTCTTCCAAGACTAAAGCTCAAATGCACCTACCTATCCCTTTGTAGATTACATTTTCAAAGATATTTTTCAAAAATCCATTCAAAGTAGAGTTGGCAGATAAAATACAGGTTGTCCAGTTTAATAGGGATTTTAAATAATCAAGGAATATTTTAAGGTATGTTCCAAATTTTACATTATACTTAAATGGTATTTAACATAACAACAAAAACAAATGTACTGATAGCCTACCAAATATTGCATGAGACATGTTTGATTCTAAAAAAAGGATTCATTGTTTACCTTAAATTCAAATTTAACTGGGCATTTTGTATTTTAATTTGCTAAATCTTACCTTATCAGATTTCCTTGTTTTAATCCTCAGAAGTGTTCACCCTCTTTTTAAAGGCTTATTTGATGCCCTTCTATTTTCAAACACGGTCAGGTCATCCCCACTGTGGTATGAAAGGTCCCAATTATTCAAGCCACCATGAGCCCATACCCTTTGCCATGTCACTTTGCAATTTCCCTAAAGAAGTGAACTCTATGGGAACCAGCAGTTAGCGTAATGGCTATGTCGCTGGACTCCCACGTAGTCAATCGTGGTTTGCGTCCCGGATCCGGTGGCTTAGAACTCACGCCGGGCGCATGTGCGTGTGTGCCCAAGATCCGGAGAGGAGAATGGAGGAGAAGGGATTGCGGCGTGACCATCCCCCCTGGGGGGTGATTTCTCGCTTTCTGTCTCTCTGTCTCTCTCTGTCTGTCTGGCGAGTGCACACGCCCTATAGCAAAAAACTTCTCCAAAAAAAAAAAAAAAGAAGTGACCTCTATATACCCACCCCTAGAAAATGAGGTTGCCATGTGAATTGCTTTGTTCAATAGAATAAGGCAGAAGTGCCAGTGTTATCAGTTTAGAATCTAGGTCTTCAGCGGCCATGTGTGTTTCTGCTTGTCTTCTTAAGCAATTCTTTCTTCTCAATCAGAAACTTATGTGTGGGGCCAACAAGTGGCATGGTGTTTAAGGACCCTGGACTCCCGCCTGGCTGACTGTGGTTTGAGTCCCAGACCTGGAAGAAATTTATGCCACAGGAAGCTAGTCAGACCTGGGAGGAGGATGACAGATGAGTGAAACAGAGTCCAGCCCACAGCAAAGTTCCTACTAGGAACAGGAACACAGGCAAACAGGCAAACCCAGTTGAGATCAGCCAACTCTCAGACATGTGAGCTAGAATAATAATTACTGTGTTAAGTCATTGTGTTTTAGCTTGCTATATAGCAAAAGCTAATTAAAACATCTACTCTGAAAAAGTCATCTTGATCTTACTATTCCAACTTTCTTATACTTCCAAACTGCTGCAAAAGGGATTCTTTCTTTCTTTCTTTCTTTTTTTTTTTTTTTTTTGCCTTTATTCCCTTCCCCTTAGTCTATATAATTTCTCTTTTAATGGACACAAAAGGCCTACTAATGGCCAGCCCGACAGCTTTGGCACTGTCCTCATCCAGATGGCCTTTGACACTAGATCATACAAAGCTTTTCTCTTTATTGTACTGTACTATTCTTTATTTCTTGATTGTTCCATCTACTTCAGGGGTTCATCTCTCTCTTCCACTCTTCTGAGAGTTTATTCATTCCCCCAACAGTGCCAATCATACATCTGATTCATACATCTTTATCTCTACTACTAATCTCCCTTTAACACTCTAGGTCAGTTGGTTCACAAACTATGGCACGTATCAGAATCACTTAGAGGGCTTTCAATATTCAAATTGGTGGGGCCCCACTCTCAGAGTTTCCTATTTAGTAAACCTGGGGTGGACCCTAAAAATGTACACTTCTAACAAGTTCTCAGGTGATACTAGTGTTGCATCAGCAACCACACTTTGAGAACCACTGTTGTGGTTTGTATTTCCAACTCTAACAATCTGCACTGGTTATCCAAAGGTACCTCAAATAGCACATACAGTGTGTCAATTCTTTTTAAAGTTTATTTCTTTCATGAGAATGAAAAGGAGAGAGGGAAAAATTTAGAGAAGAAAGAGGTAAGGAAAGGAGAGACATTTAACAGGGTCTCACCAGGCCACAATGCTCCCTCTAGCTTCCCAGTCAGATAGGATCCTAGGTGCACATGGCATGTCCAGCACGTTCAAGATGACCAGGATCTGAACCTTGACTTCCTATGTGGCTCCAGTATCACACAGTGGTGTTCCTACCACCTGTGCCACTGTGCCTGGGCCTCAACTTGGGTTTTTTGATGGTAAGCCCTAGGAACCAGTTTGGGTTACCTAAAGCAAAAGCAAGAATTTATCAGGGAGCTCATAGAATCAATGTGAAAGCTGCAGAACAAAAGTTAAAAGTAAGAAAGGAACCAGAAAAGATACAACTTGATAGAATTGGCTCTATGTTTAAAGAGTAAACTGATTATTCCTTGTATTTTTCAGTCCCTCTGTAAAAAAAGCAATTCCAAACCAGTCACTGACCCTTTCCTTAGTTGTACTACAGGAGTGTAGAAAGGATTATGGTGAAAGGAGCCACCAAGGACTTTTCTTACTTTCATACTGTCTTAGCTCAGGTCCTTACAATAAAGCAGGTGGGTTACCACCACGGTCTTTTAACTGGTTTCTTGTCCCTAACATAACCTCCAATTCATTCTCCACATCACCTTCAGCTATCTCTTTAAGACATGTTATTTTCTTCATTGCCTTGCTTGATGTAGTATTCCTATCTTATCTTCAGTAATAAACTGCTTTTCTTTATATGTAAGTGTTTAGGATACTTTCTCAGTAGCTGACTCAAAATATGGAAAAGCAGTTTCAGAACATAAGAAAAACATCCTATTGGAAAATGAAGACCCAATCCTCTAGAATCAGGCAAGAGTCAGAAGTGAAGTGACAAAATTTTACATAGAGACTTCCTCTTGGAGTCTTTAAGAGTCTCTCACTGGACTAAAAACTCCCTAATAGCAAGTCCTAGCCCTCACTGTAACCCCAGCATCTAGCACAGTTCCTTAAACAATACAGATACTTAATAAAATGAATAAAGTATTCATCTCCAGGTCTTCCCTACTTTAGATGACCAGTGTGCAGTCTCTGTCTGCCTGTCTCCTCACTACTGAAACCTTCCTCTATACCACCACTAAATCAAGCCAATTATTTCCTGCTCAGCATCTTCTGACTCCCTAAAACACTCTCATAAACTCTAACCTCTTCAGTATTCAAAGCCTTCTAACCAATTTGTCTAGGCTTTCTTCTACTTCTCATTTACTATCAACCAATTTGGATAAATAAGAATGTTTTTTGTTTATCTGAACATACTTTTTTTGCTCTTGTTGGTTTCACTTTTCGGAATGACTTCTCCTATGATGTCTTCCCAATCTACTTTCAAAGTCTAGTTAAGATGCCATTTCTCAGTGTTCTCAATCTTTTTTAGTCTCTACTATTTCCAGGTTCCTATTGGTAATGTCCCTTTCCACTTCTAAGCCCCCTAACTCCCTGGATAAGGATGTTTTCTATTTGAAGTTTTTGTTAATTACCATTCTGTTTATATATGTAGTAGTTGAACACTTACTACCTTAAATTATCAGTATGTACTTGTATTAATTGTCCTATCAGATGTTAAGAACCTTAAGAAACTTTCTGTAGCTATTTTTCTGTATCCCCCAGAAACTTCTATAGTACTTTACAAACAGTAGTAGGTGATGAGTAAAATCTGTTGATCAGAATAAATGGATGCTCATAATACAGGGTTAGTATTTGGAGCGGATCCATTTGAGGTAGCCAGTCAGTGGCTGAGCCAGGAATTTCTGAATTTCTGGCATCAGGGGTTATAAATCCTGACAGCTTGGAACTAGAGGGTGAGTCTAAACCACAGATGATCAAGTTGAATGAAGATTCAAATGCCAGGAAGTCAAACATAATCAAGTGAAAAGGTCCGAAAGACTAAACCTAAGCTAAGTATAGAGCAAAGGGTATGGAATCAGACAGAGACACAGTAGAAGCAGTAATAGTTGAATAAAAGCTTGATAAGAGATCTGGGATGGTGGACTTTTGGGAGGGACTGTGCATAGCATTTACCAAAGTGAGTGGTCTGTTGGTAAAACAGACTTGCCTAAGAATTAGAAACTATGTAGGTAGCCATTTTTCATTCTTAGCAAAGAAATCCATCTATGCAAATAAAAAAATTATAACAGTAAATACAGTGAAATTAAATACTTCCTTGGGAGTTAAATTGAATTTTAGCACTATTTTCTTGCTATGTCCTGCCACCTTAATTTGTTTCATACATTTGTACAATTTCACGTGTAAGTTCTAATGTATTCTTCGATTCGTTTATATTAAGTATAAAGAAAAGCCTATTTCAAGGGAGATAATATCATCACATTTAATGCCAAGTACAAAAACTCAGAACTTGAGTTTGCTGTATTACTGGATTTAGGCTTTTAATCTACTCATTAGTAAAGTTGCAATAACAATACTGTACCTAATTACCACTGATTTTTCTAAATCAACTGTTCATAGACTAAAATATTCTAAGACTATTTTAAAAAGGCTAACATAAAAAAAGGCCAGTAGGTGGTATGGTGGTTAAGACACTGGATTTCTCCATGGCCAATCGCAGTTCGAGTCCCAGACCTGGTAGCTTGAAAATCACACTGGAAGCATGTGCATGTATGCCCCAAATCCCAAGAGACTAGAGAAAGGATTGTGGCATGGCCATTTCCCCCCCACCCCAGGGGGTGATTTTTCACTTTCCCTCTTTGTCTCTCTCTTGGGCAAGTGCATGTGCTCTATAGCAAAAACTTAAAAAAAAACAACAAGAACAACAACCAAAAAACCCCTCTTACAATGTCAAAAAAAAGAACAAAAAACGAATTATAAGAAATGCGTATTTTATTATTGAAAGCTCTAAAGAGTTTAATTCCTACAGCTACCTTGCACATGTAACACCTGTTTGCCTGTCAATCTGTGAAGATGGGTGGAGTAGCTCTCTGCCACACACAGTGTTTTCTTGTACTAATTAGCAGCAAGCATCATGGTAGAGACTAATGTTCACATGAAAGGCACAGGAAAGTTTACTTTAAATCCTATTATAAATGTGCAGCAGTCTGCTGCATAAATTGTAAAATAAATTTTGTTATTTTGAATTAAATTAAATGCTGAGTAAAGCCTCTATTATTCTTCCTAAGTCTACCAAGAGAAAAATAAACTCTCCTATTAGTTTCTTTAATAATTAATATATTTGGCAGTCAAAATAAAAGAATAAGACCACTCACCAAAGAGGTAGGTGACCTGGATCTTACTTACTATATGGGCTCTTAGGAAAGTTGTTTATACTCTCTGAGTCTCAATTTCTTCATCATAAAATCAAAAGACTTAAACTATTTCTGCGGTTATTGACAGGAAGACTGCACTGAACTGGCCTATGGTCATTCTGACTTGGTAGATACAAGAAAGGAGAGTCTGGGTAACTGTATCTACACAATATCTCCTAAGTAATTTTGATGCATATTACTGATTAAGAACCAATGGCCTAAATAATTTCTTGGGCCTTTTGCAATTTAAGAGTCTACTTTTTACATCCAATCAATGGAATTTTAATAGCTCCCAGTTTTCAGGATTACTCTCTTCTTGTTAATGAGTAAGTATATTTTAAGAAATAGAAAAGCTACCTATGATTTATGAATAATAACTTAAAACTATTGAGTAGTTTTTAAAAAGCTCATGGAAAATGCACATTAAGAAAACTATGCAAGGACTTCACATTTTTTTTTTCACAAAAATAAACATGTACTTTAAATCTATAAACTTTTTTCCATGAACATTTTGAAAATCTCTGGTATGACAGATGGGAGAAATGAGGCATGGAAAACAATTTTTCCAAAGTCATAGAAGAGATGAGTAGGGAAACTGGGCTGCTGAGCCTAAACTCTTAACCAGTAAGCATACTGTCTATTAAATGACCTACACATACAAACAGTGCCCATTACTACTCCCTACCCACAAAGTGCTGCTTTCCCTGCAATCATAGGAAAAAGGAAAGGTATGCTTTTAGAAAATCTGTGGGATCAGAAATGATGGGAAGGTAAAACTAGGAAAGGCAAGAATAACGTAACTCAAGACACCTGAGTCTAAGACCCCTGTCCTAAATTACAACTAGGGAGTATTTGGATTTACAAAAATCTCTGTAAATAGGGTAACTTTCTTTAGGAGTGATTTTCCTTCGATTATCACTTCCTCCCATAATGTCTGAGATATGCTATTTCTGACTGATTAAATATCAATTTTTTAAAATAGAAATGAACTAGGCTCAAAACTGTAAAGTAAAACACAAAATAAGCATGAAAGCCAATTTAAAGAGTTAGACAAAAGGTAACGACAATCGAAATAATTCAACCTATTACTAATTTGGAGCATACAAAGGAGAATTTATAAACTATATCTTGACATACAATATGTGAGCTTCATATGGTAGAGACTAATACATTATGAAGTATACTTTTCCCATCCCAACAGTACTAGATGGGCTATCTGTGAAAGATTCACTCAGCGTGAGAGCAAGAGTTAAGGTGAAGGAGGAAGATTGAAAGCTAAGTGTCGAAATCTTTAATAAATTAAGTCTTGAAAGACTTTGCATATGCTTAGTATAGGTAAGCAGAAATTCTAGAATGAGAATCTTTCCCCCTTCTCTATGAGCTTTCAGTCTAAAAAAGTTCACACAAATAGAGAAAATGGCAGCTGTTTAAGAAAAATGAATAATGTTTCCCTTCATTCATAAAACAAATCTTTGTTCTACTCTTCAGACTTGGCAAAAACCCCTGGTTCACATTTTCATCCTACGGCTAGATTTTCTCTGCAAAAGACAAATAGAGAATGGAAGTACCTATTAATACCAGCAAGAAAAAAAAAATCAGTTCTTGCTCTTGTATATTTGTGAAAATAAAGGTTTTAAAAATAAATTATAACTCATTTGCCCTAGTTCTGATCTGAAAACATATGGTGAACCACTGGGTGCAGTTTCCCACCACTCTTTTTATTATTTTCTTTTCCAAGTGTGAAAACACACATATACAAAGTTTTTTTTTTGGTTTGTTTGGTTGTTTTTTTGTTTGTTTACTTTATTTTTAAAAATAACCTTAAAAGAACAGGATGGCATGCTATTTCCTGACAAGTTGACCTTTGCACAAAGAACTCCACCTTCAACAAGCTGAAGATTACTGTTACTGATGGCTTCAGCATATCACTGTATGCCTCAGAAAGCTTCATGTTTTGTCCAAATCATACAGAAGTTACTAAATGGATACCATTTGGTCACCAAATGGTGCTGCAGCTAGCAAGGGGAAATTCATTCTATGGTCCCAACCATATGCCTGGCACTATGCAAGGAAAAAAAAAAAGGAAGTGTCAAATATGATTCTTAATGTAAAGAAACTTACCACTTACTAGTCAATTACATAATACTTGAGCCCAGAGCCATCTAACACAAGACTTTATAAATATAAGTTAATTTAAATGTTTAAACAATAATACTAAAAGCTTAGAGTTAGTAATAAAATTAATGTTCAACGTAGTTGACCAAGTGAAGAGGTAACGGTTGAGCAAGTGCCACTGTAATCTGAGACCCAAGCTATAAAAAACCTTGTTCCTATTTTAACTTTATAATACTCTTATTTTGAGTATGTACTGATACAGAAAGGTCCCTATTCCTGCTCACTGAAATATTTAGGAAGAAAAGAGCCAAGTCAGGTTCTCCTAGAGGCAGGGCTTGGAGTTCAGGCTTATCCTGTGCTATGACATCACCTGCATCCTTTTCAGGATAGCCAAAATACCAGCTTTAAGCAACAGTTCTTTTAAGCATTCAAAACTACTGACCAGGACTGGCCCTGTAGCACAGTGGCTATGCCCTGTGCAAAGGGAGCCAGATCCTACATGGCTGACTATGGTTCAAATTGTGGCCCT